GCGGACGATGTGCGCGGGCACGGGAAGCGTGCACTGGTCACTGGCGTGATGCGCGTCGGGCGCTGGGAAACTTCGGGTGTGTGCGTGCACGCGGGCGCTATGCCTATGCGGAGGCGGACTGGGCGAACGCGTCTGGGACCACGCGGGCGTGCACTGCAAGTCTCCTGGGCGCGCAAGGTATGACGCGCGTGAACTGGACAAGCGCTGGGACCTCGCGATCAGTGATGGCGAGCAACAGATGCGAGCGGGCGATGCGGGAAGCACGCGGGACGTCGCTGGGCACTCGCGGTGGCAATCGGGCGTCGCTGGGCGCTGGGACTGGGCTCGGCTTGGCGCGACTGCGGGCGTTGGCACGCGGTAGCGATCGGCTGGGCTCGGACGGCGACCGACGGCAGTAGGCGATTTCCAGCGGCGGATCACGGCGGCGATGGGCGGCGATGATGTGATGATGATGACCGGAAAATATGGTTCTTAGAAAGCTCAATCAATTGTACCAAAAGGTCTTCTAACGGATTACCTAAACACCTATTCCGATTAAACTTGGTGGAGCATTTAATCGGATCTCCCTAACTCTCGAACAATGTAATTCTCACGTGTATGTAGATGAGAAAATCGACCAACATCAACTTGTAGGAGAGATTGGGACATGGTGTATATATAGGTTCCATTAGGGACCTTAAGGAGGTGCTAAATATAAGCTTATTCCATTAGGCCTAGGAAACCTAATTCTAATCCAATACTAACTCAATCTAGGAAGGAGATCTCCTACTAATCCTTCTCTTCTAGAAGACTCCTAAGTCTCCTAACACTAGAGAAGATCCTTGTAGGAATTTCCTTTCCTAATAAAATTAATAATCATAGAATAAAATTAATTCCTAATTTAGGATACCTAATTTTAATCCAATTAATAATATAATGTAGGAAATATATTTCCCACTAATCTTCATCTTCTAGAAGACTCCCAAGTCTCCTAATCCCAAAAGAAGATTCTAGTAGGAATTTTATTCTCCTAATTAATTAATTAATATATAATAAAATTAATTCCTATTTAATGGAATTAAATAATAAAACATCCCACTAGAGTAATATTATTGCTCTCCCTATTTAGCCACTATTTTACCAATAAAATTGAGCCTCCATGATTAAATAATATTAATCTTACTGATCGATTTACCTTCCTATGTTTAAGATAAACGTCCGTTGATTAATTAAATTACTTACAAAATAATTAATCAACTTCTTATTCATTTTCGAAATTAGTACCACTCAGCCTTTAACTATTATGTCAGACAATCGTCTTCCTGCAGGGTTTAACATAATGTTCCTTTTTGAGCTCATTTCGGGGACGTCATCAATCCAGCGCACTGGAACATAGTGACTGTAAATAATCTATAATAGAACATCATATAATTATTCTTACTTACCAAAATACCTCGTATGTCATCCTAACAGAATAGGAATCACTTGGTAAATCAAATAAATAAGAGATAAAAATATATGCCTATTTTATATTATATTACAGTTTAAGAGAACGCATCAATCACTGAAGGGCGAGGTTACAACAACGGTCAGTGAATCTCATAACCTTTGCCTTGCGCGGTCCTGTTCAACACTTAACATAAGTGCCAGTGTAATCCTTCAGTCAAAGACTAACTGAATCGAGAATACACTATAGTATTTTTCCAAGTGCGGTCTCACTGCCAGTCTAGACTGTGAACAAATAGTTTAGTCTTATAAGGAACCGATAGGTGATCTTTCTGTTCGAAACTCTTTGAACCATACTACCTCAATATAAGACATGGAGTATGTATTGCATAAATAAATAAACTGCAAACATATGTACTTTGACCGAAACATGATTGCCAGATCAAAATGGAATTGATAGAATCTGCAAAACACAGCTTTTACAGCATACCTCTAACAATCTCCCACTTATGCTTTATAAGCTCATGGCTAAACAAATATAACCACAATTTCTTTCAATCTAATTCTCAAAGACTAGTCTTCTATGTTGCCCTAACATCTGACTCTCATTCCTTCTACATGTCTCGTAAAGACTTCCGCCAGTAGGCTCTTTGTAAAAGGATCTGCTTGGTTGTCCTCTGATTGTATCTTGGCAACAACGACTTCTCCTCGTCCAACGATTTCTCGTATCAGGTGGTACTTGCGCTCTATGTGTTTACTCGCTTTATGAGTCCGTGGTTACTTCGAATTTGCTACTGCTCCGCTGTTATCACAGAACACTGTGATTGCAGCGGGCAAACTCGATACCACATCAAGGTCGAGGAGAAAATTCCTGAGCCAGTCAGCTTCTTTCGCTGCCTTTGAGGCTGCTACATACTCAGCCTCCATGGTTTTGTCCACCATGCATTTCTGCTTGACACGCCTCCATACTATGGCTCCTCCTCCTAAAGTAAACACAAACCCTGAGGTTGACTTGCTTTCGTCCCGGTCTACCTGGAAGTCAGAATCGGTATAACCCAACAGAAGCAATTCATATGTCTGGTAAATCAACATGTACTCCTTAATCCTACGAAGGTACTTGAGTAAATGCTTTACCGCAGACCAATGTTCCAGTCCTGGATTACTCTGATATCTTGCTACCATGCCCACGACATAACAAATATCAGGTCGCGTGCACAACATCGCATACATGAGGCTTCCTACTGCCGATGCATAAAGAACTGCCTTCATGTCCTCTATCTCTTGAGGCGTCTTCGGGGACATCCTCTTAGATAGAGGTATTCCGTGCCGAAAGGGCAAATCCCCTTTCTTGGAATCCTGCATGTTGAAACGCTTTAGGACAGTGTCTATGTATGTGGATTGGGATAGGCACAACTTTCTCTTCTCTCGTTCGCGAATGACCTTGATTCCAAGAACATGTCCTACTTCACCCAAATCCTTCATATCAAACTGCTTAGATTACCATACCTTTACGTGTGACAACATCTTCACACTGTTTCCAATGGGAAGAATGTCATCCACGTACAACACTAGAAACACCACCACGTTTCCATCACTTTTCTTGTACACACAGTGCTCATCTGGACATTGGGTAAATCCATACGATTGGACAACCTCGTCAAAACGGATGTTCCAAGACCTCGAAGCCTGCTTTAGCCCATAAATGGACCTCTTCAGCTTGCAAACCAGATGCTCTTGGCCCTTTGCAATGAATCCTTCTAGTTGCTGCATATAGATGTCCTCGTCCAAATTCCCGTTAAGGAAAGCGGTTTTAACATCCATTTGACAAATCTCATAATCCATATGAGCGACCACAGCCAAGAGAATCCTGATGGATTTGAGCATGGCTACCGGCGAAAAGGTTTCCTCATAATCGATCCCTTCTTTCTGAGTGTACCCTTTCGCAACAAGCCTAGCTTTGAAGGTCTCAACCTTCTCATTTGATCCTCTCTTTCTCTTATCTCACTTGCATCCAATGGCGCGAACGCCACTGGGTGGCTCTACAAGATCCTAGACCTGATTAGTGTCCATTGACCCTATTTCAGATTTCATCGCCTTTAGCCAAGACTCTACGTCCCGATCTTGGAGTGCCTCATTGTATGTCCATGGGTCGGATTCAAGAACGTCCGGGACGGCCTCAGAAGACTCTCCCAGACCCATGAACCATTCGGGTTTCCGGACAACCCTCACACTACGACGAGGTACTACCTGCTCAGGTGCATCATCAGCGATGCGTGTTGCAGTACTTTGTGGTGTAACATCTAGCTCACTCGGTATTGAAGTACTCACTCCCTTTAACTCCTCAAGAACATGTCTACTACTGGGCTTATGATTTAAGACATAGTTTTCTTCCAAGAACCTAGCATTCGTGCTAACGATTACTTTCTGGTCCTCGGGACTATAAAATAGACCACCTTTCGTTTCCTTAGGATATCCCACAAACAGCCTAACTTCTGATCTCAGTTCCAACTTATCAGTATAGGTTCTCAGCACATGTGCTGGACTACCCCAAATCCTGAGATGCCTTAGACTAGGCTTTTGCCCAGACCACAACTCCAATGGTGTAGACGGTACTGATTTAGAAGGTACTCT